AAGAAGAAGGGGCTATATTTTATTGAAGCTGTTCGCAGTATTATACTGCGTTTTAAGTAAAACACAGTATAATACTGCGAACAGCTTTAATAAAATATAGCTGGACCCAACATCTTAGTAAAACGCAGTATAGTACTGCGATTTACAAATTGTTTTTTTTAAACAAAAACGCAGTACTATACTGCGAATTACTTTAACGGCAAAATTTCCGTTAAAGTAATTCGCAGTATAATACTGCATTTTACTCATTTATGTAATTTTTTTTTTTAAGTAGTACAAAAATGTTTTTGGTCAAAAAATAATTAAAAAGGTTTTGGACTCCTCATGTCACCTCTTTTGTCTATAAAGTGAAACAAAACAAACAACCCCTCATGTTTTTTTCTCTTTCTCCTTCATGTCTTGAGTTTAGTGTCAGTAATATTTTGCTCCTTTTATAATGGTGTCAAATTCTTGAAAAGCTCATAAAAAACTACCATAACTGTCTTCCCAAGTTCTTGAATTTTGTAGGTTTCTTGAAAAAAGAATAGTAAAAAAAGACATGATTTTGGTTCTTGGTTTGGCACTTATAATGGTGTCAAAATCTTGAAAAGCTCATAAAACTACCATAAGTGTCTTGATCCCAAGTTCTTGAATTTTTTTAGGTTTCTTGAAAAAGGAAGAGTAAAAAAGACATGATTTTGATTGGGTTTTAAGCATTTTCAGTTATTGTTTATATAATTATGATGGTGTCAAAATCTTGAAAAGCTCATATAACTACCATAATTGTCTTCCCAAGTTCTCAAATTTTGTATGTTTCTTGAAAAAAGAAGGGTAAAAAACACATGATTTTGGTTGGTTTTTGACATTTTTTAGTTCTTGGTTTGCTAATTATAATGGTGGTCAAAATCTTGAAAAGGTCATAAAACTAACATTACTGTCTTCCCTAGTTCTCATATTTGTAAGTTTCTTGCAAAAAGAAGAGTAAAAAAGCCATGATTTTGGTTGGTTTTTAACATTTTTAGTTCTTGGTTTTAATATCTTGAAAAGGTCATATAACTATATTCCCAAGTTCTTGAAATTTGTAGGTTTCTTGAAAATAGAAGAGTGAAAAGAGACATGAATTTGGTTGGTTTTTAACGTTGTTTTAGTACTTGAATTTTGGTAAAATTATGGGAGAAGAAGAGGGGTGGGATTGGCCACCAACACCAAGTGGATCACCAATGTACATAACAAAAGATGATCATTGGACTCATTTTGACAACTCTGTTAATGCTGTTTCTTTTGGATTTGTTGCCACTGCAATTCTCATCTCTATGTTTCTTGTCATGGCCATTTTTGAGAGGTTTCTCAGACCCAATTCGCCGGCGTTATCGCCATCCGGTGGCCGGAATCTTGATGATATTGAGTCCCAAATTGGTTTCAATGGAAAACTTGGTTATCCAACATCCAAAGTAAGTGTCTTTAGCTGGAACTTTACTTCAGTAAGATGTTACTTCTTTTGTTCTAACTGCATTGTAGCTGCTGGTAATTGGTTACAACTTTTGGGAGAAATGACACCAGCCACTCTAAACGGTTGCTATTTGAGAATTAGTCAGTACATCCTTAATTTTAGTTTTTCAGGACAAAAATGTGCTGAGTTGTCTTGAAATTAAGATTTTTAGTTTAAAATTTCAGGACAGAATAAGTACTGGCTAATATCTAAATAGCATCCTGAGAATGGTTATCTGTGCGCTTGCCCCCAATTTTTCCTTTCCTAACAATGTTTATGAGGCCGGTTCTTTGTGTCTCTATATTTGAGAGTCCATTACTCAAATGGTCACTCAACTATCCCAAATTATCTCCTAAAGTCACTTTACTTTCGTTTGTAACAACAAAGTCACTGAACTATGCCTCTTGCACTCAGAATGTCACTCAACTAGATTTCCAAATTTTGGATTGCCAAATACCTATTTTACCCTCTAAATTATAAATATTTATCTTCTTTTTATTTTGTTAAACTTTTTAATATTATGATTTTCCTTATTTAATTTATATTATAGACTTATCTATAGAATAAATAAATATTATTTATAAATTAAAAAAATAAAAATTATTTAAGCATGTACAATGCTGGAATAATAAAATAACGAGCTTAGTAAAAAAAATTAATTAGAATAATTTGTTAGTAATAATGATTTAGTATTAACAACAAAACTTCAAAAATTTATTTACACAATTCAGAATGAAAGAAAATAAAGGTCGTAAAATATATATTCCATGCACGTAATATAAAAATAATTATTTAAATAAAGATATTTTTATAATATACATTATATATTATTAAATATGCTCAATTATATTATTATGTTTCTATCAACTTTCCGGCGACACAAAGTTATGTCACCGGAAAGTAGGGGGACTATCTGTATAGGGTAAAATATACTATGTTAAATCGTGCATGGAATATATATAATATAATTGAGCATAATTTTCAAGAATATATATATGTATATTATAAAAATACTTTTATTTAAATAATTATTTTTATATTACATGCATGAAATATATATTTTACAACCTTTATTTTCTTTCATTCTGAATTGTGTAAACAAATTTTTAAATTTTTGTTGTTAATACTAAAATTATTATTACGAACAAATTATTCTAATTAATTTTACCATGCTTATTATTTTGTTATTCCAACATTATAAATTATAGATGCTTAAATAATTTTTATTTTTTTAATTTATAAATAATATTTATTTATTCTATAGATAAGTCCATAATATAAATTAAGGGAAAATCATAATATTGAAGTTAAAAAAATAAAAGAAGATAAATATTTATAATTTAGAGGATAAAATAGGTATTTGACAATCCAAAATTTGAAAAATCTAGTTGAGTGATCTTCTGAGTGCAATAGGCATAGTTCAGTGACTTTGTTGTTACAAACGAAAGAAAAGTGACTTTAAGAGATAATTTGAGAAAGTTGAGGAACCATTTGAGTAATTGACTCTTGTATTTGATGGGCTTTTAACGCATTTGGCCACTCGGCCAAACATAATTACAACCGCTAAGCTAAATATATAAAAAAATATACACGGATTATGTATAAAGTTGCATGCGACTTCCCTCAAGATTGTGATACACAGAAGAACACTTCTATTATTTTGGTGTCCGAGCATTAAGAAGTTAGCTCTTTCCATCGGTTCCCATCAATATGATCTATTAAACCGCTGTAATTATGTTTTTTTGGGCCGAGGATCTAAAAGATACAACCTCTTTATTTATAAGGTCAACGTATACATTATTCTCCCCATACCCCACTTATAGAAATATTCTAGGTACGTTATTGTACTTTATGCCTTACATGTTGATTTTAGTGTTGGAGCATAGCCCCACATATGTACATGACTTCCATAATTCCATTAAGATCCATCACCACCTATCTTAATGATGACTTGCTTGCCAACGCTGACTGCAGAATGGAGATGGAATGCCAGCCTTGTAGAAACTGTGTTTTCTATTTTATAGTATTATAACTCCTTTTCAGCTGAAATAACATGTATTATACACAACTAGCTTACTTATTGTGGCATAACTAGTACTAGTATTTTTTTTTTATAATGTTGGTGTTCGGATCAACTTGTATGCACCTTGACTATTCCATCAATTACCTGCTACTTCCTACACAAGGAAAAGCACTTGCCATTCGTATGTTATTAGCAGCATTCCGAAAACGTCCGGGTTGAAATACGGCGTAACACACCAAAAAGATAATGGAAAACCAAAGTTCAAATCGCAACAGAGACAAAATTTATTAGGTGATGTTTTTACATTTGCCTAAGGATTGGTGAACAATATTACTCGTTACCATTGTTTAGGTCCTTTCTGACGCTTTTGTTTTAATTTTATTTGTATAATATTTGCTGAATTAAATGGAGAAATAGGGTTAGTGAGGTTTTATAGTGGATCTCTAACTTATTTGGAACTAAGACGTTGTTTTTGATACTTCTATCTGTCTCTCAAGTGTCTTGAGCCTTATGATTTCTCCAAATTGAGGGGAAAGAGGAGAGTGTCTTCAGTCATAAGACATTACCATTTCTAAAGAGATTTATCTAATTAGCCCTTGTCACCAATTATTTTATATGGGCATGCTTTATTTTTAAAATCCTGCTCCATAATATAGATATTATATAATTATTTCACCTTTTGTTGGATTTGGGGGGGGGGGTAATGTTCATGTGCTGGCAAACATTAATAACTGCCCATACTTATAAAATAAAGTCTCTGCTTTGGAAATCCACCATTTAGACACTATATAGAAGGAGAAAATATACATAGTTAGACATGTACCAAGACATACGAGAATCGAATACAAAATTAGTTACTTTCCAGGTTCTAATTGCGCGCGCACAAATATATATATATATATATATATAAATTTGCACTTGATTTTATGCAACGTGCGAAATTTATTTAACTGGCTATAACATGTTACGATTTTGCTCTCAGGTATCAGCAAATGCGCGAGAAGTATCAGTATTGATGCCAGGAGAAGACATCCCAACTTTTATTGCTAACCCTGTTCCTGTACCTTGTCCTCCTGAACGCGATCCATGGCCTCCCCATCAACAGCATTCTTTACCCGGTCTTTTGAACCCCGACTCAAATGCATAGTCGTAGCTCAATCTGAAGGAAACAAACGTCGGAAATGCCAAATTCACGAATCACAAAATTATTAGGAGTTCTTCAAGTGGCTTTTTTGTCCCTCGCCTTGACTCCTTAAAATTATGTACATACCATTTAGACATTGAATTCCTAGCACGGTCTGCTAGACATTGAATTCCTAGCACGGTCTGCCTGATTAATTAGTATGAATATTACGTTAATAGAGTAAGATATATTTTAAGTTGTGCCCTTAATTTTCTTCTTTAAATTTTATATTAAATCTGAAACTTTGGATTCTTGACCTTTCATAGATACAGTCAAGTCTCTTCAGGTGATTATCAATCTTTCATAGATAAAACAAACAATCTAACCAGAATTCTTGACCTTCACATTGTATGTGGAAAGTGCAGTCCATTATTCTGCTGCTGGAGACTATAGAACACTACCAACTAAATGGGCATCTGGCTCTGTACATTATGAGAAAATTATGTGGATGGACCTTTTTAGAATTGTTGTTTATATTTTAACCCTGTTAAAAAAAAATCAAAAAAATTAGTGATGCACCAAAATTTTAAATCACGCTGCACAAATTTTGGAATGCTGATGATTCTGGAAGCATGCTACAAATTTTGGCAATGTGCTTAAAATGCTGGCAACGTTCTTTAAAATTCTAGCATGTGGCTATTTTTCTAAAACTTTTCTTCACGGGATCAAAATCTAAACTATGGCACTAAATGATCTTATTTGTGAAAAACTTCCGTCTGTTACCAAGTTGGGTGATTTGCACAAATAGGACAATTCGGTGCCACTATCGATTTTTTAATCCTGCTTGCCCATACGCAGAATTTCAAGTTTAACAAGTATTGTTCATGTTTGTCCCATGGACAACACTATTAACTTTGGGGGAAGCACACAATTAGCCACTAATAACAAATGTATTTATTTTTAAGCCACTGTTTAAAATATTTTTAGTCTTTAGTCACTGCTTTAATAAACTTTAACTGCCCGGACGAAAATACCCTTCTGCTCATGTTCTTAACTTTTGTACTTAACTTCAGGACTACATGTCCTTAACTTTTGAACTTGGAACTCTAAGTTCAGGACTTCAGAACTACATGTCCTTAACTTTTGAATTTAACTTCAGGACTTCAAGACTACATGTCCTTAACTTTTGAACTTAACTTCAGGACTACATATCCTTAACTTTTGAACTTAACTTCAGGACTACATATCCTTAACTTTTGAACTTGGAACTCAAACTTTAGGACCAAGCGTCCTTAACTTTTGAACTTGTAAGTCAAAGTTAAGGACCTATTGTCCTTAACTTTTGAACTTGTAACTGTAAGTTAAGGACTGTATGTCCTTAACATTTGAACTTGTAACTGTAAGTAAGGACTGTCTGTCCTTAACTTTTGAACTTGGAAGTCAAAGTTAAGGACCTATTGTCCTTAACTTTTGAACTTGTAACTGTAAGTTAAGGACTGTATGTCCTTAACATTTGAACTTGTAACTGTAAGTAAGGACTGTCTGTCCTTAACTTTTGAACTTGTGTCCTTAACTATTGAACTTAACTTCAGGCAAAGGATCTCGTTGAACTCGCAAAGCAGCAATCCCGAAGGGAGGCTCTCGAGGAAATTCATGCTCGAGGTTTTGCCTTGTCGGCCAAAATCGAGAGTGCCAAGGAGATCGAAGCTACGGCTAAAATGTCAGCTTATCCTAAGGATGATAATGACTCTGAGGGTTCAAGCGAGTCTAAAGACAGAGGAGATCTCGAGGGTGACGATGCGGCCCCTCACGAAGACTAGGCCACTTAGGCTCTTTAATTTTTTTGTTTATCTCTTTGGTTGAGGCAGTTTGGCCTCTATAAAGAATTTGTATCGCGGTCGTTTCGGTCCTTATAATGTTTTTTGATATATATCAAACCTTTTTTTCCCTTCAGCAATTTCTAAGTTCTTTGCTTTTTTATATTCGCAAAGATTAACATGCCTTAGCATGAAATAGTTAATTTTCTGCCCGGAGGTTCCAACAAGCCTTGCCTTTAACATTATTTTATTTTTAAGGCATTGTGGGGTTTCGGTGTGGCTGAAATTTTTTTTCCCCAAAGTACTTACACCTTCTTAGATTATAGTTTGCCAAGGGTAGCTTTTAGAATCGGTTAGGAAATTTTGAGGTGTTGTTGTTTTTGTTACGGGTCTCGAACGTCTCCGAGTCTTTTTAATTTGGCTGTAGCCTTTTTAGCTCGGATGTTGCCTAATGGGCTTGTCACCCCAAGTTATCCGGGCTTGCCTAGGATAATAGTCCCCGAGGGGGATGGCCATAGCCTTTAAAATTTGGGCGCTTGCCTAATGGGTCTTGTGCCCTTGAGTTCCAACAACCCGGACCGTTCGACTTTGTTTTCAGACGGAAGTCCCCGAGTGAGAGTTTGTTCGAACTTGGGTTAAGGTGTCCCTTAGTATCGGTATCTTTAGAGGGCCGGATGTAGGAAATTCCTTAAGAAAATGCAAGAATATTTTTTAAAAGGACAAAATATTTATCCGCAAGGAAGAGACTTCTTTTTATTCTTGTGCAAAATATTTATACATGCGTACATGCTTTATGCCAGGGCTCGAGAAGTCTATGCGGGCAAGGTTCATTTAATCGTTTGGCCCTTACAATAAATCCGATCTATCAAGACCCTTCAATCACGAAGTTTCTTTCCTTGCTAAAGTCGATATCCAAGGGTAATGCCCCCCAGTATTTGAGGTTGATCATAGAGAGAAACCTTGGATACTAATGATGCAATATTTGACACCAGTTCATGACCGGCCTTCTATTCTAAGTTAGCACAATCCATTGTTGCCTTGTTAAAAATCTAACTGGAAAACCCATTTGGGATAAAACCGGTTCAAGGGAAAAAGAGTGCAACACGTGCTTTCAGACCTAAAATCTGTAACGCTTCCTGTTGGTTACTTGCAAGTGTTAGTTCAAAAATAAGGAAATGAATAGGGCCGTACTTTAGCAGTAGTATCACTTTAAGTGAGTTATGTTCTAGTTATTCGGTAGTTGCTCGCCTTTCATTGTTCTGAGTTTGTAGGATCCCTTTCCAGTGATCACGATAACTTGGTATGGTCCTTCCCAGTTTGGTCCCAACTTCCATTCGTTTGGGTTCCAGGTGCTTAGTGAGACTTTCCTTAGTAATAAGTCCCCGATATTGAAGTGCCAAAGGCTGGCCCTTCGATTGTAGTATCTCTTGATCCGCTGCTTTTGGGTAGCCAACTAGACAAGGGCGGCTTCGCATCTTTCATCCAATAGCTCCAGGCTCATACTCATGGCCTTGTCATTCGATTCCTTTATTGCATATCGAAATATGATACTTGGTTCTCCGACTTCAACTGGTATTAGAGCCTCGACACCGTAAACCAATGAGAATGGGGTGGCCCCAGTACTGGACTTCGAGGTTGTACGATATGCCCATAGGACTTCGGGTAGGATTTCTTTCCATTTTCCTTTGGCATCATTTAACCTCTTTTTGAGGTTTTGGAGTATGGTTTTCTTGGTCAATTCTGCTTGTCCGGTTCCACTAGGGTGATAAGGTGTTGACAGGATCCTTTTGATCTTATGGTCTTCAAGAAATCTGGTCCCCTTGCTGCCGATAAATTGTTTCCCGTTGTCGCACATGATTACGGATGGCATTCTGAAACAACATATGATGTGATCCCAAATAATGTCGATGACTTCCTTCTACCTGACCATCTCATATGTTTGGGCTTCCACCCTCTTAGAAAAATAGTCAATCATAAACAATATAAATTGAGCCTTACCTGGTGCCCATGGAAGAGGGCCAACGATGTCCATTCCCCACTTCACGAACGACCATGGAGACAAGACCGAATGCAGCAGCTCCCGGGGTTGGTGAATCATCGGAGCATGTCTTTGGCATTCATCGCATTTTCGTACAAACTCCTTTGCATCTTTTTCCATGTCGATCTAGTAATAGCCGGCTCTGATTATCTTTCGAACCAATGATTCCGTACCTGAATGATTTCTATAGGTTCCCTCGTGAACTTCCCTCATAACGTAATTGGTATCTCTTGGTCCTAGAAATATTGCCAATAGGCCATCGAACGCTCTTCTAAACAAGGTCCCATCTTCGGACAAACTAAACAAGGTTGCCTTTGTACGCAGGGTCCTCGATTCTTTTAGATCCTAGTGTACTTTCCCAATCTTTAGATATTCTACATATTCGTTTCTCCAATCCCAAGTCAAGCTTGTAGAGTTTATTTTGGCATGACCTTCTACCACTACCGATCTTATGAGTTGTACGGCTGCCCTCGAGTTGAACTCGTCGTCTTTGATCGACGATCCTAAGTTTGCAAGGGCATGGACTATGCTGTATTGATCCCATGGTATATGTTGCAAAGTCCACTCCTTGAATCGATGTAATGTTACCTACAATTTATCTAGGTACCTTTGCATTTATTCTTCTCTGACCTCTAATATACCATTAACTTGGATCACCACAAGGAGGGAGTCGCACTTAGCTTCGATCACCTCCATCCCCAAGCTTTTGGCTAGTTCAAGACCTACAATCATGGCCTCATATTCGGCTTCATTGTTAGTTAATTTCACTGTTCTAATAGATTATCTAACTATATTACCTGTGGGTGGCTTCAATATGATGCCAAGTCTAGACTCTTTCGCGATCGAAGCACCGTCCGTAAAGAGGGTCCAGATTCTCGAAAATGTCCCTGAGTTTACCAACAATTCCCTTTCTACCTCGGGTATTAGGGATGGCGTAAAGTCAGCCATGAAATCTGCCAAAATTTGAGATTTAATGGCTCTCTGAGGTCGATACTCAATATCGTACCCGATGATTTCTACGGCCCATTTGGCCAATCGTCCCGAGAGTTCGGGATTGTGCATTATATATTGCAATGGCTAAGTAATCACAACACATATAGGGTGGCACTAAAAATGTGGTTTCAGTTTCCTAGAGGAGCTTAGCAAAGAGAGCGCAAATTTTTCTAGGTGAGGGTACCTAGTTTCGGCCTCACCCAAGGTCCTGCTAACATAGTAAATTGAAAATTGCGTACCTTTCTCTTTCCGAACTAGGACTCCACTTACCGCTATCTCTGATACTGCCATGTATATGTATAGTTGTTCATCTGTCTTCGGCGTGTGAAGTGGTGGCAGGCTCGATAGATATCACTTGAGTTATTCCAAGGCCCGTTGGCATTCTAGGGTT